TTATAAATGTGGTAACTGTGGGAAGAGTTTCAAACAACGCTCTGACCTCTTTAGACACCAGAGAATCCACACAGGTGAGAAACCCTATGGCTGCCAAGAATGTGGGAAAAGCTTCAGCCAGAGCGCTGCCCTGACCAAGCACCAGAGGACACACACAGGTGAGAAGCCATATACCTGTCTGAAATGTGGGGAGCGCTTCAGGCAGAATTCACACCTAAATCGTCATCAAAGTACCCACAGTAGAGACAAACATTTTAAATGTGAGGAATGCGGGGAAACCTGTCATATTTCCCACCTTTTTAGACATCAGAGACTACATAAAGGGGAGAGACCCTATAAGTGTGAAGAATGCGAGAAAAGCTTCAAACAGCGCTCCGACCTCTTTAAACACCAGAGGATCCACACTGGGGAGAAGCCCTATGAATGTTCTGTCTGTGGGAAACGCTTCAATCAGAGTGCAACCCTCATTAAACACCAGAGAATTCACACTGGAGAAAAGCCTTACAAATGTCTTGAATGTGGGGAAAGATTTAGACAAAGTACACACCTTATCCGACACCAAAGAATTCATCAAAATAAAGTGCTGTCGGCTGGGCGTGGTGGCTCACGCCTGTAATTCCAGTACTTTGGGAGGCCAAGGCAGGCAGATCATTTGAGATCAGGAGTTTGAAACCAGCCTGGCCAACATGGTAAAACCCCGTCTCTACTAAAAATACAAAAATGAGCTGGGTGTGGTGGTGTGTACCTGTAATCCCAGCTATTTGGTAGGCTGAGGCAGGAGAATCACTTGAACCCAGGAGGCGGAGGTTGCAGTGAGCCGAGATCACGCCACTGCACTCCAGCCTGGGCAACGGAACAAGACTCTATCTCAAAAAAGAAAGAAATAAAGTGCTATCATTTTGATATGTTTCTGTGTGACTTGGCCTGTTTCTTTTCCTGTCCAGAACGACATTCCTTGCCATTTGGAGTATATCAGTCAATTATGGATCTTCCTTGAGGATCTCCTACAAGATAGGTTCAATCTGTCCTGAGCCCCATTACAGACTGATAGTTTCAGTGAGTGAGGAATGAGGAAGTAAGGGGCCTTCTGAAATGTGAGCTGGTGCCAGGTAAGAGACTTCTGATGATAAGAGTGAGGCCAACATGTTAGAGGGTTCTGTCCTTGTCATCTGTGCTCTACCTTTATTTATGTGTTTATTTTTGAGATTGGGTCTCGTCATATTCCCCCGGCTGGAGCTCAGTGGTGTGATCATGGCTCACTGTGGCCTCAACCTGGGCTCAAGTGATTGTCTGTCTTAACCTCCTGAGTAGCTGGGGCCACAGGCAGACTACCACACCCAGCTATTTTTTTTTTTTTTTTTAAGAAATAGGGTCTTGCTGTGTTGCCCAGGCTGGTCTCAACCTCCTAGGCTCAAGGAATCCTCCTGCCTCAGCCTCCCAAAGTGCTGGAATTACAGACATGAGCCACCACACCCAGCCTACCTTTATTTACTTCGTTTTTTTTTTTTTTTTTTTTTTTTGAGATGGAGTCTTGCTCTGTCACCCAGGCTGGAGTGCAGTGGCATGATCTCGGCTCACTGCAACTTCCACCTCCTGGGTTCAAGCAATTCACCTGCCTCAGCCTTCTGAGTACCTGGGACTGCAGGCGCACCGTGCCACGCCTGGCTAATTTTTTGTATTTTAGTAGAGATGGGGTTTCACCGTGTTGCCTAGGCTGCTAGTGAACTCCTGAGCTCAGGCAATCTGCCCACCTCTGCCTTCCAAAGTGCTGGGATTACACACATGAGCCACCACGCCCAGCCTCTTTATTCACTTTTGAACCAAATCTTGCTCACTACAGGTACTAATACTTCTCTAAGAATGTATTTTAGTCTTTTAAAATTTGCCTTTGTCCTTAGACGGTAGAGAGGGTTTCAACTACTTCATAATCCCCAGAAGACCTGGTAAAGCTCAGTGCTCACAAGAAACACCCTATTTTTCACTTTCCAGAAAACCTAATTTTACATAGTCCCTCTTTCCCATTCTAGGGGCCTAGGAGTTCAGTTTTTTGACTTACTGATTTCTTTTTTTTTGAGACGGATTCTTGCTCTGTCACCCAGGCTGGAGTGCAGTGGCATGATATTGGCTCACTGCAACCTCCACCTCCCGGGTTCAAGCGATTCTCCTGCCCCAGCCTCCCGAGTAGCTGGGATTATAGGCACCTGCCACTGCGCCCAGTTAAATTTTGTATTTTTAGTAGAGACGGGATTTCACCGTGTTGGCCAGGCTGGTCTCAAACTCCTGACCTCAGGGGATCTGCCTGCCTTGGCTCCCAAAGTGGATTTCTTTTTTAAAGACAGTCTACCTCTGTGGCCCAGGCTGGAGTACAGTGGCACGATCTTTGCTCACTGCAGCCTCCACCTGCTGGGTTCAAGCAATTCTCCTTAAACTGGAAGTTCCAATTTTTTTTTTTTTTTTTTTTTTGAGACTGAGTCTCGCACTGTCGCCCAGTCTGGAGTGCAGTGGCATGATCTTGGCTCACTTGCAGCCTCAACTTCCTGGGTTTTTAAGCGATCCTTCCACCTCAGCCTCCCAAGCAGCTGAGACTACAGGCACACAACCACCATACCCAGCTAGTTTTTATACTTTAAAAGTATAAGAGAGACTGGGCGCAGTGGCTCACGCCTATAAGTCCAACACTGGGAGGCTGAGGCTGGCAGATCACGACGTCAGGTGTTCAAGACCAGCCTGGCCAACATGGCGAAACCCCATCTCTACTGAAAATACAAAAGTTAGCTGGGCATGGTGACGGGTGCCTGTTGTCCCAGCTACTCGGGGGGCTGAAGCAGGAGAATCGCTTGAACCCAGGAGGCAGAGGTTGCAGTGAGCCAAGATTGCACCACTGCACTCCAGCCTGGGCGACAGAACGAGACTCCATCTCAAAAAAAAAAAAAAAAAAAAAAAAAAAGGTTTTGCCATGTTGGCCAGGCTGGTCTCAAAACTCCTGGGTTGAAGTGATCCATCCGCCTCAGCATCCCAAAGTGTTGGGGAATCAGAGGTGTGACCCACTGCACCTGGCCTGAGAGCAATTTTTTTTTTTTTTTTTTTTTTTGACACAGGGTCTCACTTTGTCGCCCAGGCTGGAATGCAGTGGTGCAATCTTGGCTCACGGCAACCTCCACCGCCCCGGTTCAAGCGATTCTCCTGTCTCAGCCTCCCAAATAGCTGGAATTACAGGCACCCACCACCACGCCCGGCAAATTAGATCAATGTTTAATACAGACATAGGATGATGTTTAGGATATCAAAATAATTTAAGTGTATCTCTTATATTGTTGAGCTCTAGGGAGAATACACTCAGCTCAACCTATTTAAACTGAATGTTAGAATGTGCTTATAATAACTGTGAAAACAGAAGGGATATGGCTCCTCAGAGACCATAATTGACACTTTTTGAATACAAGGAGTTTATTTGTTGGGGAGAGGTTGCAATACTGTTAGGGAAGGTGGAAGACAGAGAAGTCACCCAATGAGGCAGCTACCATGGTGAGTGCCTGTGTGCAATTCCTGGGGAACCTCTGGAAACTAAAACACATGCTTCAGAGTTTTCCACACATGGGGAGATGGAGAATTTGGTGTTTATCAAATGCCCATCAATGATTGGTTGACGGCTGCTCCCAGGATGTCTCTTTTGCCCTCAGGCCACAAGGTGCAGACACAGTCAGATGAAGCCCACAGAAGGTGTAAGTAAGGCCAGAGGGACTTCGGCAGGGCCCACAGCACCTATTACAAATACTGACTTATAGCTCTTTCCAGAATCTACTAACACATTCATTTTAGATTATGCGCAACTTTTTTTTTTTGAGACGGAGTCTTGGTCTGTCTCCCAGGATAGAGTGCACTGATGCAATCTCGGGTCACTGCAACCTCTACCTCCCGGGTTCAAGTGATTCTCCTGCCTCAGCCTCCCAAGTAGCTGGGATTATAGGTGCCCGTCACTGTGCCTGGCTAATTTTTGTATTTTTAGTAGAGACGGGGTTTCACCATCTTGGCTAGGCTCGTCTTGAACTCCTGACCTCATGATCCACCCGCTTTGGCCTCCCAAAGTGCTAGGATTACAGGTATGAGCTACCACGCCCGGCCTGATTATGGGCAACTTTTAGCAGTTCTTCATACCTCACTAGTTACTAGTGAGTAGCCCTTAGTTTTTTTTGTTTTTTTAAGTCTAAACATTAGCAGGTCATAGTTGTTTGTAATACAGGAAAAGCATTCTTCTTCAATCCTTTTTTTTTTTTTTTTGAGATGGAGTCTCACTCTGTTGTCCAGGCTGGAGTGCAGTGGTGTGTTCTCAGCTCACTGCAACCTCTGCCTCCCAGGTCCAAGCAACTCTCCTGCCTCAGCTTCTCAAGTAGCTGGAACTACAGGCACATGCCACCATGGCCAGCTAATTTTTGTATTTTCAGTAGAGACGGGGTTTCACCATGTTGGCCAGGCTAGTCTTGAACTCTTGACCTCAAGTGATTCTCCATTCTTAGCCTCCCAAAGTGCTGGGATTACAGGCGTGAGCCACTGCACCTGGCCCATTCCTCAGTCCTTCAATCATTCACAACCCATTCAATGGTCCCCAGCCTGGCAACCACAGGGCAAAGCTTCTATGGCTCGCTTCTGCCTTAACTAGGCTGGAGGGGATGAGGGCATAGAGGGTGCAAGAGAGTGAACACAACAGCCTAGTAAACTTTTCTCTTTTCTTTTTTTTTTTTTTTTTTTTTGAGACAGCCTTGCTCTGTCACCCAGGCGGGAGTACAGTGACACATCATGGCTCACTGCAGCCTTGAACTCCTGGGCTAACGCGATCCTCCCATCTCAGCCTTCTCAGTAGCTGGGACTGGAGGTGTGAGCCACCACACCTGGCTTTTTTGTTTTTTGTAGAGACAGGATCTCACTATGTTGCCCAGGCTAACATTTCCTTTGAAGTGTTTCTTCACTAGGGCAGCAGATTGGCCACAAAAAGAGGGCCCCCATAGAAAAACTCTTTGTTACATTTATTGCTTTTCATGAAAACAATCATGTGATACACACTTGAAGTAGAAGTTCTAGTCCTTCAATGACTGCTTTCCAGTTAATATCACGTGGATATCTGTCCTTTGTGAGTGCCCTGGTGCTTAATAAAGCTTGTGTGCCACTTGAAAGATTTTCCACATATGACACATTGGTAGGGTTGGCTTCCGGTGTGAATGACCTGATGTCGAAAAAGATTCCTCTTAAAACTAAACGTTTTCCCACATTCTCCACATTGAAAGAATTCCTCCTTTGTATGGATTCTTTGATGCTGAATGAGATCCACATTCCGACCAAAGGACTGTCCACAATCACTGCATTTATGGGTGTTCGGTTTACTGTGAATCTGTTGATGACACAGAAGGGTTGAATGCCGGCCAAAGGCTTTTCCACACTCAAGGCATTTATGGCGTTTTTCTCCACTGTGGATCACCTGATGTCGAATAAGGGTTGAATTCTGACTAAAGGTTTTTTCACATTCACTACATTTATAGGGTTTTTCTTTGGTATGAATCCTCTTATGTTCAACAAGATACGCGAGCTGCCGAAAACACTTTCCACAGTCATGACATCTGTATGGCTTGTTTTGCAGGTGACACTGTTTATGGACCGTAAGAGCTGACCGCTCTCTGAAGGCTTGCCCACATACCTTACATTCGAAGGGATTCTCTAAGAAGTGAATTCTTTGATGTTGATCAAACCATGCCTTACGCCTAATGACTTTTCCACATTCACTGCATTCGTAAGACTTTGCTCTTGTGAGAATTTGCTCGTGCCCCAAAAGAAAAGATCTTTGATTGAGGGGTTTGTCATCCTCATCATACCTGCCCTGCTTCCACCTGGTTTGCACATTCTCATCTTGAATAAGGTTAAGGTTTTGAAGGAAGTCCCTGCTGTATTCATCGCCACTAGTAGGGAAAGTAAGCCTGCAACTGTCCACAAATTTTTTACACTTATGTAACTTTTCTGAAAGTTTCTCGGCCGATTCCTGCATTACCACTGATATCTTATATGACTCTAAATCTTCAGAAAACTTCTGTTTTGGAGTTAGCTTTTTCATCCTGTGTCTGGCTTCAGAACCTAGCCAAATAACAAGAAAAGATGTAAATGACCTATCCACTGCAGAAGAAAAAAAGGAAGAGAAGCCAACTGTTAGGGCTCTAGGACAATCAAATGAAGCTAAGAAGTGATCTCTTGTTTACATCGTCACACTCAAGAGGCCAAAATTCTGAATTTTTCTTTTCTTTTTTTTTTTTTTTTTTTTTTTTTTGAGACGGAGTCTCGCTCTGTTGCCCAGGCTAGAGTGCAGTGGCACGATCTCAGCTCACTGCAACCTCCGCTTCCCAGGTTCAAGTGATTCCCCTGCCTCAACCTCCCGAGTAGCTGGGATTACAGATGCCAGCCCACCATACTCAGCTAATTTTTGTATTAGTAGAGATGGGGTTTCACCATGTTGGTCAGGCTAGTCTTGAACTCCTGACGTCAGGTGATCCACCTGCCTTGGCCTCCCAAAGTGCTGGGATTACAGGCGTGAGCCACTGCACCCAGCCCAAAATTCTGAATTTCAATGGACTCTTCACTGTCATAACAAAAAGAGCTCTCGGCACCAACAAACTCACTAAAAATGCACAGGAGTGTGTATGCCAGAGAATGTGAGAGCAGAGCCCATCACCATTATCAGAAAAACAACTTACTCTAGTAAGTTGTTTGGCACCAATAAATGTCAAAGAGGTAGCGTGTTATTTTTCAAGATACATGCTTTTTGTTTGAGACATGCCTAGGCCAGAGTGCAGTGGCATGATCTCAACTCATTGGAACCTCCACTTCCTGGGTTCAAGAGATTCTCGTGCCTCAGCCTCCCGAGTAGCTGGGATTACAGGCACGCACCACCACGCCCGGCTAGTTTTGTTATTTTTAGTAGAGATGGGGTTTCACCATGTTGGCCAGGTGGGTCTCAAACTCCTGGCCTCAAGCGATCTGCCCATCTCAGCCTCCAAAAGTGCTGGGATTACAGGTGTAAGCCACTGTACCCGGCCTAGATACAAGTTTTTAATAACTCTAGGTGAAACATCTGCTTAAAAATGGACAAAGTATAGGATAGAACAGAAAAGGAACCAGAGGGAAATAGGGACAAAAGCCAACTGACTAGAGCAATGGGTCTCAACTAGGGGTGAGCAGGGTTCAGACAATGTCTGGAGACATTTCTGGTTGTCACACCTGGGGAGGTTCAAATGGCATCTAGTGGGTGCAGGCCAGGGCTGCTACTTAACATCCTAAAATGCACAGGACATGCCCCCATCCTGCCCCCAGAGAATTCATCAGCCCAAAATGTCAGTAGTGCCATGGAGAAACCTTGGATGTGAAAAACAGGAGGAGCTGCATCAGGACACAGTAAGTAGAAAAATGCAGATATGTCAGGAAATACGGGAGTAATATGGAAACAAAACAAAGCAAGGGAACAAGAGGCAGCACAGAGAGAGGACAAGAAATGAGGGTGGAATCAAGGGGCATCTAGGGTGCCCTGAGAGCTGTCACTTAGAAAACACTAGAGCAGCTGTGTCCGAGCAGCGCTTTTTCCTGCAGGAGAGACAGGATGAATGTTCTAGACTTGAAGTCAAACCCCAGTGTCCACCTCCCAACTGTGAGAGTTCTTTTTTGAGAGTCTTGCTCTGTCACCCAGGCTGGAGTACAGTCATGTAATCTCAGCTCACTGCAACCTCTGCCTCCCAGCCTCAAGCGGTCCTTGCACCTCAGCCTCCTGAGTAGCTGGGACTACAGGCGTGCGCCACCACACCCGGCTTAAATTTGTATTTTTTGTAGAGATGGGTTTTCACCATGTCACCCAGGCTGATCCTGAACGCCTGGGCTCAAGTGATCCTCCTGCCTCTACTGCCCAAAGTGCTGGGATTACCGGTGTGAGCCCCCATACCAGGCCTGTGTGAGTTTTTTTTTTTTTTTTTTTTTTGAAACAGAGTCTTGCTCTGTCACTCAGGCTGGAGTTCAGTGGCGTGATCTTGGCTCACTGCAGCCTCTGCCTCCCAGGTTCTGGCAATTCTCCTGCCTCAGCCTCCCAGGTAGCTGGGATTACAGGCACACACCACTACGCCTGGCTAATTTTTGTATTTTCAGTAGAGACGGGGTTTCACCATGTTGGCCAGGCTGGTCAACTCCGGGCCTCAGGTGATCCACCCGACTTGGCCTCCCAAAGTGCTAGAATTACAGGCGTGAACCACCACGCCCGGTCAAGATTTCTTAATCTTAGTCTCTTCATCTGGGAAGTAGGGATGCCGATCTTCTTCCCACCTCACAGGGCAGCAGCGATGAAGAAGTGGGATAATATATGCCCAGCACCTGGCTCTGCGTCTGGTACACAGAAGGGGCTTCACTAACGTGCCTTCCCTTCCTCTTCCTGATTCCACTCGCCTGGGTTTCTTCCTCACCCACCTGGGCAAGCACTACCGGAAGCCTTCCTACTCCCAGCTCTCGGTAGATCCAGGATCCACTGCTCGTCCCAGTTCTCCAGCTGACAGATCACCTCAGGTTTGGGAAACTGAAATCCTACTCATGGGGAAGTAAATGGGATGTGCCCGTTAGTGAGTTACAGAGACATGGCCCGGGAGCTCAGTGGCAAGCAGAGATAAGGACAATAATCAGAAGGGCTGGTGAGAATAGAGATTGGCACAATCTTTGTAAATATCTGGCAGTATTTATTGAAAGCCTGAACAATGTTCATACCTTTGGCTGTGGTCATTTCACTCTTAGAAATATAGCCTAAAGTACAATTGCAACCAAGATGAATGTGCCAGAGACGTTCAGCACAGTGGGATTGCAGCGTCAAACTGGAAATAAACTGAATATCGAAAGGGAACAATTAAATCAAGCGTAGCACATTAATGCGGTGAAGGCATAACTATTAGGCAGATATTAAAAATCCTTGTATTCAATTGTTTATTTTTTTTATTTTTGAGATGGAGTCTTGCTCTGTAACCCAGGCTGGAGTGACAGTCTCGGCTCACTGCAACCTCTGTCTCCCAGGATCAAGTAATTATACTGCTTCAGCCTCCCAAGTAGCTGGAACTACAGGCACCCGCCACCATGCCCAGCTAATTTTTGTATTTTTAGTAGAGACAGGTTTCACCATGTTGACCAGGCTGGTCTCGAACTCCTGACCTCAGGTGCTCCACCCACCTCGGCCTCCCAAAGTGCTGGGATTACAGGCTTAAGCCACTGTACTTAGCCAACTATGTATTTATTTATTTATAAATTTATTTATTTATTTTGAGACGGAGTCTGTGCTGTCGCCCTCACCCGGCTAAGTTTTTTATTTTTATTTTTTTGAGACAGAGTTTCACTCTCGTCACCCAGGCTGGAGTGCACTTGTACCATCTCTGTTCACTGCTACCTCCGCCTCCCAGGTTCAAGTGATTCTCCTGCCTCAGCCTCCCAAGTAGCTGGAATTACAGGCACGTGGCCACCACGCCCAGCTAATTTTTGCATTTTTAGTAGGTATGAGATTTCACCATTTTGGCCAAGCTGGTCTCGAACTCCTGAACTCAAGTGATCTGCCTGCCCCGGCCTCCCAAAGAGGTGGGATTACAAGCATAAGCCACCACGCCCAGCCCAACTATTTATTAAAATAGAAAAATGCTGCCTATGTATTTTAAAGCAGAATACAAAACTCACATATAGCATGATCCAAATTTTTTTTTTTCTGAGACGGAGCTTCGCTATTGTTGCCCAGGCTGGAGTGCAGTGGCAAAATCTCAGCTCACCACAACCTCTGCCTCCCGGGTTCAAGCAATTCTCCTGCCTTAGCCTCCGGAATAGCTGGGATTACAGGCATGTGCCACCACGCCCGGCTAATTTTGTATTTTTAGTAGAGACAGGGTTTCTCCATGTTGCTCAGGCTGGTCTCGAACTCCTGACCTCAGGTGATCTGCACGCCTCAGCCTCCCTCCCAAAGTGCTGGGATTACAGGCGTGAGCCACCATGCCTGGCCCCATATTTTGTTTTAAAAAAACTATGTAGTGTGTGTGTTATGTATGCATGTGTAAGTAAGTAATACAGTTTGAGCATCCCTAATCCAAAATGCTCCCAGATCTGAAACTTTTTAAGCACTAACCTGACAGAAGTGGAGACTTCCACACCTGACCTCATGTGACCAGTGGCAGTCAAAACGCAGGCGCACAACACACAGTTAATTCAGCCTTCTCCAGGGAAAGATAAAAGGACCTTCAAGATATGTGTCTAAGGTGTATATGAAACATAAGTGAATTTCCTGTTTAGGCTTGGGTCAGGTCCTCAAATTATCTCATTACATATATGTGAGTACTCCAAAATCCAAAAAATATCCGAAATCCAAAACACTTTTGGTCCCCAGCATTTTGGATAAGGGATCCTTGCCCTGTAATAGACACAAGACGGATTGGGAAAAAGGAAACCGAAATGTTAATAACAAGAGTTATTTCTGGAAAGTAGGCCTCCAGGTGATTTTTATTATCTACTGTATGTACTGACGTGTTTTCCAAAATTTCTGTGATCAAAATTATTTTTAGAACTAGTAAAATCCATAAAAGAGGGCAGGGATATAGTAAAAAAGCACTCTCAGCCAGGCATGGTGGCTCACGCCTGTAATACCAGCACTTTGGGAGGCTGAGGCGGGCGGATCACCTGAGGTCGGGAGTTCAAGACCAGCCTGACCAACATGGAGAAACCCCATCTCTACTAAAAATACAAAATTAGCCAGGCGTGGTGGGGCATGCCTATAATCCCAGCTACTCAGGAGGCTGAGGCAGGAGAATCACCTGAACCCGGGAGGCAGAGGTGCGGTGAGCAGAGATCGCACCATTGTACTCCCGCCTGGGCAACAATAGTGAAACTCTGTCTCAAAAAAATAAAAAAGGCTGGGCATGGTGGCTCACACCTGTAATCCCAGCACTTTGGGAGGCCGAGGCAGGTGGATCACCTTAGGTTGGGAGTTCGAGACCTGCCTGACCAACATGGAGAAACCCTGTCTCTACTAAAAATACAAAATTAGCCATCCGTGGTGGCACATGCCTGTAATCTCAGCTACTAGGGAGTCTGAGGCAGGAGAATTGCTTGAACCTGGGAGGTGGAGGATGTGGTGAGCCGAGATGGTGCCATTGCACTCCAGCCTGGGCAACAATAGCAAAACTCCGTCTCAGACCAAAAAAAAAAAAAAGACACACTCTCAAATGTTACTATTGGATATGCAAAACAGTACAAATTTTGTTGAAGAATCATTCAGTAATCAATAAAGATTAAAGTGCCATCTCATTTAACTTCAAAATTCTGATTTTGGGAAAGTATCTTGGGAAATGATCAAAAATTCATATAAAGATTTATACTTAGAAACATCTATTCAAACATTATAAATACACAAGCAAACCAACGAACAAAAACAAAGCCAAGCTGAATGTTCCCACACGGGAAAACAATGAAATAGTATCATGGATCACACAATGGAATTATATTATGCTCGTTTACTGATTCTGTAGGGAAACGCTGATACAATAATGTTAAGTTTAAAACAGATTACAGGATTACACATAGAATATGTTCAGCTACTTTTGTAAAGGCATAGGAAAAAAAGACTGGAAGGAAATCTTCCAAAATATTAACAGTGTTACTCGTGAACACTTTCCTCTTCTCCTCCTCCTTTTCTATGCCTTTCATGTACTTATGTATGCTCTTGTAATGTCTTTTTTTTTTTTGAGACGGAGTCTTGCTCTGTTGCCCAGGCTGGAGTTCAGTGGCGTGATCTTGGCTCACTGCAAGCTCTACCTCCCAGGTTCACGCCATTCTCCTGCCTCAGCCTCCCAGGTAGCTGGGACTACAGGCGCCCACCACCACGCCCAGTTAATTTTTTGTATTTTTAGTAAAGACGGGGTTTCACCATGTTGGCCAGGATAGTCTCGATCTCCTGACATCATCATCCGCCTGCCTCGGCCTCCCAAAGTGCTGGGATTACAGGCATGAGCCACCGTGCCTGGCCTTGTAATGCTTTTAAAGGGAAAATTAAAATTATAAAAATCCAGAGGTGGGTGGACGATCCCACAAGAGGTGGTCAAGACTCTGTGCTAAGAGTGTCAGTGCAGGGGTTAAACATGTGGCCCCAGAAAGAAAACTATTTAGCAAGGCAATTCCCACAGTAGGAGACTACAGTGGAATAGGACAGGGTAGGCTCCTGAAAAGATGGAAGCAGTGAAGGTTCAGAAATGAAGCTGGCTTAAAATCATTTCCTGAGCACCCACTAACGCTACACACCAAGAAGTTACCCATTTCCAGAGAAAAGAAAGAAAAAGACTTTCAAGAGCATAAGAAGTGAGCCTTTGGAATGTAAATCTACCATAATTCTCAACTCCTGGAGGTCTTACAGATGAGGAACATGGGGTGAGAGTGAAGAACGCATGAAGTGTCTCTATCTGAGCCCTAACACAACACGACTATTCGCTGTCCCCAGTCCCTTATGTGAAACCCTTAGGACCAGATGTGTTTTAGGAGTCAGAATTTTTCCAATTTCAGAAAGGTGACCTGGTGTAAATATTTTACATAACGTATCATCCCCAGTAGGGTTTGGAGTGGTGCCTTCAAATACAGTTATTGTTGTTGTTGTTTTGTTTTGTTTTGGGATGGAGTCTCACTCTGTCGCCCAGGCTGGAATGCACTGGCGTGATCTCGGCTCAGTGCAACCTCTCTCCCTCCTGGGTTCAAGCGATTCTCCTGCCTCAGCCTCCCAAGTAACTGGGACTACAAGCGTGCACCACCACAACCGGCTAATTTTCGTATCTTAAGTAGAGATGGGTTTTACCATATTGGCCAGGCTGGTCTCAAACTACTGACCTCAGGTGACCCACCTGCCTCAGAATCCCAAAGTGCTAGGATTACAGGCGTGAGCCACCGCACCCGGCCTACACTGTTATTTCTGAAGTTGGGTATACAGATATGCACACCAAGTTGGAAAAATAAAGACAATAAATGGTTTCCTATGGGGTGAAGTCAGGTTTCACTGTGGTGATGTCTGGTCAGGGCTTGTAGCCACACAAGTTATGAAAAAAACTTTCAGTTTTCAGCACTTTTTCTGATTCTGGAATTGCAGATAAGGGACTAAGGGCTTGCACAGACACTCAGAACACAGACAAAGCCCAATCTTCAAGCTGTGTCCTACCCAGCAAGACCATGTTCCTGTAGTTCTCCAGCATCACATCTCGGTAGAGGTCCTTCTGACCCCAGTCGAGGTGGCCCCACTCCTCTCTGGTGAAGTACATCGCCACATCCTCAAACGAGAGCAGCTCCTGGAAAAGTAGCTGATAAAGGTAACTGCAATTCTTACAATAACTTACGCGCAATGATTATTCCACAGGTGAGGAAACCGAGGTTTGGGAGGTAAAGTGTGTAGGCCAAGGGTACCCAATTCATAAGGAATAGACTCAGGGCTCCTTTCAGGCCTGATGGCCCTCAGGCCAGACATGTGCTGGCTTCCATACCACGGGGTCAACATACTTAATCTCTAAAGGGCCAGAGGGTAAATATTTTAGGCTTTTCAGGCCCTCTGGTCTCTGTTCCAGTTCCTCAAATCTGCTGTTGATTTGAGGAACAGCAAATCAACAATTTGAGTAACAGCTTTTGTGTTGGAGCACAAAAGCAGCCATGGACAAGTAAGCGAATGGGCACAGCTGTGTTTCAGGGAAACTTTACCTAAAGAGGTCGAGGGTAGTTTGCTGACCCCTGCTCTATAAAAATAACCTATTGGTTCTGCCCCAGCTTCCTTACGAAAGAGATGAGGTCACTGGGGGATTGGTTAATGTGCAGACTATCGACAAAGGGATGAATAGTCTCAACGAACATGAACAAGAAATGTGGAAGCTCACAGGTGCTGGCCACCCTGGGAAATCAGGGCCTGCTAGGTCTGAAGGGGTAAGGTGGGGAGGGGTGCTGGAGCCCAGAAGGCTGCTGGAAGGGGAGCAAGACTGCAGCTGGGGCCGAAGAGGATGCAGCCACACCCATCCCACAGCCTGGGGAGGGAGCCAGCTGTGGGAAGAGAAACCCAACCTCAGTTTCCCCCAGACCTCTGGAACCCTGTTCCCCGTCCTCCAACCCTCTTCATCCCATTGCCACAAGCCAAGCAGATGCCGGAGACCAGGGGAGCCCGTTGCTGGAGAATATAAAAGGTACAGACCAAGGCGCAGACGCCTGGGTAGCATATCCAGAGGGGGCAACAGTGGACACGGCACAGTGAGCACAGGGGACATTACATCTGCAAGTGACTGTCCCCCTCCAGTGGGCTGAGCACCGAAGCTGCCACACTCTCACTCCCACACCACTGCAGCACTCGGGGCAGAGGGGCCCAGCGGCTGTCTACAAACTCCCTGCTCTCACAAGACACTGCATGGGTTCAGCAGGGACGTGTGCAGGGAAACAGCAAATGTTCGCTGTCCTGTAAGTGGTCAGTAACAAGAAATGCCCACCCTCATCCTGAGAAGCTTCACGTAGCTCCCCTCTGCGGGCACACACCAGAACCTCCCAAATTATACGGACATTCTTTCCTGCCTATCAAACCTGAGTTCCACTGCTATGGTGGCAGGCCCTTTCTCACCATCATCCAGAATGTCACTCTTTTACCAGAGCTGCGCTGCAATGTCCTCAATCTGACCTACTCAGCCACCTGCATTCCCGCACCTGCACAAGGTTAACAAGCATGGGAATAAAGTGGCTTCACCTCCCAGAGTCATCGCGGCAAGATAACTCCTCTCTTAACATCCACAATAGGTTCTTGGAAACTGATTTTTACCAAAAGTATGTACAGCAGCAGGTCCTGGAATAACTTTGTTTCACTGTAACACTGATGGGAAAAAAAATGGTTTTGATATACAGTTACCCTTAAAGTTGCAATTTCCAAGAACCCATCAACAGCTAGGACCTGTAGGTTGCCAGGTGGGCCCCAAATGTTGCTTAAAAGTTCCATTTCTTTTGTTTGTTTGGTTTTTTTTTTTTTTTTTTGAAACAGAGTTTCGCTCTTGTTGCCCAGGCTGGAGTGTAATGGCTTAATGGCTCAATCTCGGCTCACTGCAACCTCCACCTCCTGGGTTCAAGCAATTCTCCTGCCTCAGCTTCCCAAGTAGATGGGATTATAGGCATGCGCCACTACACCCAGCTAATTTTTATATTTTCAGTAGAGACGGGGTTTCACTATATGTTGGCCAGGCAGGTCTCAAACTCCTGACCTCAGGTGATACACCTGCCTCAGCCTCCCAAAGTGCTGGGATTCCAGGCATGAGCCACCAGGCCCGGCCTCTCCTTTCTTTCAAACTCAGTCTCTTCTAAGCCGGGCACGGTGGCTCACGCCTGGAATCCCAGCACTTTGGGAGGCTGAGGCAGGTGGATGGCTCGAGCCAGGAGTTCAGAAACAACCTGGGCAACATGGTGAAACCCTGTCTATAAAAAATACAAAAATTAACCCGCCATGGTAGCATGTACCTGTGGTTTTAGCTACTTGTGAGGCTGAGGTGGGAGGATCACCTCAGCCTGGGAAGGTCAAGAGTGTCAGGAGCTGCCGGGCGCGGTGGCTCAAGCCTGTAATCCCAGCACTTTGGGAGGCCGAGACGGGTGGATCACGAGGTCAGGAGATCGAGACCATCCTGGCTAACACGGTGAAACCCCGTCTCTACTAAAAAATACAAAAAACTAGCCGGGCGAGGTGGCGGGCGCCTGTAGTCCCAGCTACTCAGGAGGCTGAGGCAGGAGAATGGCGTAAATCCGGGAGGCGGAGCTTGCAGTGAGCCGAGATCCAGCCACTGTACTCCAGCCTGGGCAACAGAGCGAGACTCCGCCTCAAAAAAAAAAAAAAAAAAAAAGAGTGTCATGGGCCATGATCATGCCACTGCATTCCAGCCTGGACGACAGAGTGAGACACTGTCTCAAAATAAGACAAAACAACTCAGTCTCTTCTAATCACCCTCCATAATGCTACAAATTCAATAACTGACCTTCCATTATACCCTTTCATAGGAACAGTTCAGAATTTATTATGAGAAGTTCCTTACACATCTATCTCTCTAATCAGACTGTACTCTCCTACAGATGAGCGTTGATTTCCCAGCACAGAAGACAGCACCTGGAGTGTACAGCAGTAGATGCACGATAATGCTCATGGACAGAAACAATGGACAACTACTACAGTAACAAGAGCGACAACTTAACACAGTGCTGAACTGTAACCAGATACTGTGCAAAGGACTTCACGGGGCATTTGCCATTGAATCTTCACAACTCGCTGTGATAGGCACTCTCATTGACCCAATTTATAGAAAAGAAAACTGGAGCCAGAGTGTTTATGTAACTTGCTGAAGGGAGCCCGTGTGACTCCAGAGGCTAAGCTCTCTACATCGCACTGTCTAACAAGGGAAACTCCCCGCACTGATGAAGAGGGCTCAACCTGAGGAAGGAGCTGCTGGTGGCAGTGACTATGCTGATGAAGCAGAGGGGGAGGCACAGCTCACCTTCCCCCTGGCTGGTGGGAACATGGCTTCCACGGCCTGGTCTTTGACAAGGGGTGGGATCCTGGGCGTCAGGCTGAGCTGGAGAAGAAAAAAAAGATAGTAAGGCCAGCCCTAATTTGAAGCTCTCTTGCTTGGCAGATCTGGGACCAGGAATACCAATGGGGCCCACAGACAAAGCTTAATACAAAGTCCCTGTGTTTGGTGGTGGAACATGTGATGAAATACATGAACCACTACAGTAAGTCTATGAATTTCTGAGGCTAGAACTATTTCCCAAGCTCTATCCAAGGGAACCTGCAGCCCTGCCCTCCCCTTCTCCCTAGAACATGTCATCCTCAGGACCTCATATACAAAGGGACAGCAGATAGACCACATATAAAAATAGCTCTCTGGCCAGGTGCGGTGGCTCACGCCTGTAATCTCAACACTTTGGGAGGCTGAAGCAGGTGGATCACGAGGTCGGGAGATGGAGACCATCCTGGCCAACATGGTGAAACCCCGTCTCTACTAAAATACAAAAAATTAGCTGGGCGTGGTGGCATGCGCCTGTAGTCCCAGCTATTCGGGAGGCTGAGGCAGGAGAATCGCTTGAACCTGGGAGGCGGAGGTTGCAGTGAGCCGAGATTGTACCACTGTATTCCAGCCTGACAACAGAGCAAGACTCCGTCTCAAAAAAAAAAAAAAACAAACAAAACAAACAAACCACACATAGCACTCTGATCCACACCTTGCAGCAACCAGCTCTGGAAACCAAACCATAGCCTCTGAGGCACGGGCCCCACATCAGGACTTGATCAATAACAGCTTTATCCAAAATTTTGCTCCCTGTAATTTAGGACCAACAGGAGAAAAGCCAAATGCTCCCTTCCCCTATCACACAAGATGTTCGAGTCTAGTTATCCTAGGGATTCCAGTTAACCAGCTTTTCTTTCTCTAAATCTACTTATGTATTTCTTTTTTTTTTTTTTTTTTTTTTTGAGACGGAGTCTCGCTCTGTCACTCAGGCTGGAGTGCAGTGGCCGGATCTCAGCTCACTGCAAGCTCCGCCTCCCGGGTTCACGCCATTCTCCAGCCTCAGCCTCCCGAGTAGCTGGGACTACAGGCGCCCGCCGCCTCGCCCGGCTAGTTTTTTGTATTTCTTAATAGAGTCGGGGTTTCACCGTGTTAGCCAGGATGGTCTCGATCTCCTGACCTCGTGATCCGCCCGTCTCGGCCTCCCAAAGTGCTGGGATTACAGGCTTGAGCCACCGTGCCCGGCCTACTTATGTATTTCTAACCCTGCTCCTACGGCCAGCTCCACCTGCTAACAAGCCCCCTCTGAAAGTGTTCTAGGGGGGGTCCCTCAACCGCCACCTCTAGCCTGGTGATTTGCTAGCAGGATTCAGCAACAGTAACAATTACAGACTTGCTATCTTTTTTTTTTTTTTAGACAGAGTTTCATTCCTGTCATGCAGGCTGGAGTGCAATGGCACAATCTCTGCTCATAGCAACCTCCGCCTCCCGGGTTCAAGCCACTCTCCTGCCTCAGCCTCCAGAAGTAGCTGGGATTACAGGTGCCCGCCACCATGCCCAGCTAATTTTTTTGTATTTTTAGTTGAAATGGGGTTTCACCATGTTGGTCAGGCTGGTCTTGAACTCCTGCCCTTAGGTGATCCACCCACCTCAGCCTCCCAAAGTGCTAGGATTACAGGCGTGAGCCACCGCGCCAGGCCTACAAACTTGCTTTCTAAGGGTGAATTTTAATGAAATTCACTTTCATTTTAATGGATGCCCCTCAAACACAGTTCACCTTCCCTGAAAACACAGTTTAGAACACGCTTTGCCTTTTTTTTTTTTTTTGAGACAGAGTCTGGCTCTGTCACCCAGGCTGGAGTGCAGTGGCGCGATCTTGGCTCACTGCAAGCTCCACCTTCCGGGTTCACGCCATTCTCCTGCCTCAGCCTCCCGAGTAGCTGGGACTACAGGCGCCCACCACCACACCCAGCTAACTTTTGTATTTTTAGTAGAGACGGGGTTTCACCCTGTTAGCCAGGATGGTCTCAATCTCCTGACCTCATGATCCGCCCGCCTTAGCCTCCCAAAGTGCTGGGATTACAGGCGTGAGCCGCCGCGCCCGACCTTTTTTTTTTTTTTTTTTTTTTTTTTTTTTTTTTTTTTTTGAGGAGTCTCCCTCTATCACCCATGCTGGAGTGCAGTGGTGTAATCATGGCTCACTGTAGCCTCGAACTCCTGGGCTTAAGCAATGCTTCTGCCTCAGTCTCCTAAGTAGCTGGGAGTGCAAGAAGGCACCACCACGTCCAGCTGTTTGTAGTTTTTTTGTAGATGGGGTCTTGCTATGTTGCCCAGGGCGGACCCTCTGCCTCTTCAAAAAGGTACGCTCTAAAAAGTATCCTGATCAGTGGCTCCCAGGCTGGGGCAGAGGCCACATCCCTTTCATTCTCTATACCAAACTTGTCCAACCCTCAGCCTGTGAGCCGCATGTGGCCCAGGACGACTTTGAATCCAATCCAACACAAATTTGTAAACTGTATTAAAACGTTACGAGATTTTTTTGCAATTCTTTTTTTTTTTTGCTCATCAGCTATTTTTAGTGTTTGTGTATTTTATGTGTAGCCCAAGACCATTCTTCTTCCAATGTGGCCCAGGGAAGCCAAGAGATTGGACAACCCTGCACTGTATTTATTGAACATCTGTTTGTGAAGGCTGTGCATCTGGATGTCAGACTTGCTAATGAAAAATTAAATGGAGGCCATGTTTTGGGTATAGCCCTAGGCCAACCACCCACAGCCACATAAGGCATTTAAAATACACTGATTTCTCCCTTGAGTTCAGGAGTTGGAGACTGCAGTGAGCTATGATGGCACTACTACACTCCACCCTGGGTGACACAGCGAGACCCTGTCTCTCTTAAAAACAACAGGCCTGGCGCGTTGGCTCACGCCTGTAAATCCCGGCACTTTGGGAGGCCGAGGCGGGCGGATCACGAGGTCAGGAGTTCAAGACCACCCTGGCCAACATAGTGAAACCCCATCTCTACTAAAAATACAAAAATTAGCCGGGCATGGTGGCGCGTGCCTGTAGTCCCAGCTACTAGGGAGGCTGAGGCAGGAGAATCGCTTGAACCCGGGAGTTGGAGGTTGCCTGTACTCCAGCTCGGGCAACAAAGTGACACATCGCTTCAAAAACAACAACAGCAACAACAACAATTCCTTATTTCCCTGAAAAGTGTGCGCTGACCAGGAAGGAAGCTTTTTTTCTAGTCCAACGGAACCAATCAGCTACAGATGCAAGGCTGATCCAGCTCGACTTACCCTAGAAGGAATGCAAGTTGATAATGGCCAATTACAATCAAGATCACTGCACTTCCTCATTTAGCTTTCTAAGCTGCCATTGGAACAATTTCCCAGCTGTTCCTCTGCATGCACAATAAACTCAAAACTTTAACTGGACGGGATTGTTAACTTTTCAGAAATTCCTAAATGCCGCTTCTTCACAATCACGTGAACACCTTCCACTAACAACCACGGCTCATCTCCCAGTCTAACAAAACCAAGCCCCGGCGTTCACCAGCCATTCATTCTTCGGACTTTGCTCCTCTCGCTGCTGAAGACTTGACACCGCCGAAAATACTCAAAAGCCGGTGCCACGGGTCCCGAGAGCTGCCGCACAGGCCCGGGAGCGTCCCCTGAGAGCCGGCGGTCTCCGGAGTGGCCTCCCCCAAGCACCGACGCCCCCCACAACACTCGCTTCCTTCTTCCCAAACCTGCTGATGCCTCCGAATCTCCGCCGCGCCGCCTCCACCAGGTGCGGCGGCGGGGCTGGGCTCTCCTCTCCGGGTGCCCAGGCCCGACCCGGGGTCTGTCTGGTCCGCGCCCCTCGGCGAACCACCCCTTGCCCGAGGAACGGGTACAACCACCCTGGCAGCCTCAGAGGCTCTCGCTGGCTCCACCTGCGCTCGCCGAGCGAAGCGTCCCTGCCAGCGGCCCCTCTAGGACCGCGGAGGTTTCGCGACTCTCTGGTCAGACAAAGAGAGTGGCGCCCGCGCGAGTGGGCCCGGACCAATCGACGGCCGCCTTCCCGCCCAGACCAATCAACGGCCGCAGACAGCACCCGGAGAGTCACGTGACGAACAGGGCCCCGCCCCTCCTATTTAATCACAACATTAATTTACAATTATTCTATGATTCAGGAGCGACACAATTCGTTTCTTTGGCTGTGTGTTTGTGGAGGGGAGAAAGGTTATCAGAGGAAGGAAGAAAAATGGGCCAGGCGCGGTGGCTCACGCCTGTAATCCCAGCACTTTGGGAGGCAGAGGCGGGCGGATCACGAGGTCAAGAGATTGAGACCATCCTGGCCAACATGGTGAAACCCCGTCTGTACTAAAAATACAAAAAAATTAGCAGGGCGTGGTGGCGCGCGCCTGTAGTCCCAGCTACTTGGGAGGCTGAGGCAGGCGAATCACTTGAACTCGGGAGGCGGAGCTTGCAGTGAGCCAAGATCCCGCCACTGCACTGCAGCCTGGGCGACAGAGCGAGACTCCACCTCAAAAAAAAAAAAAAAAAGAATATTAGATTTTAATTAAAGGCATAATTGTGTGACTTATGTAAATTACCCCCAAAATACAATTTTAATGTGAGTAAGGAGTTAATTTTTCCTTTTTTTTTTTTTTTTTTTTTTTTTTTTGAGACGGAGTCTGGCCTCCTTGACCAGGCTGGAGTGCAGTGGCGCAATCTCGGCTCACTGCAAGCTCCTCCTCCCGGGTTCACGCCATTCTCCTGCCTCAGCGTCCTTAGTAGCTGGGGCTACAGGCGCCCGCCACCATGCCCGGCTACTTTTTTGTGTGTGTTTTTAGTAGAGATGGGGTTTCACCATGTTGGCCAGGCTGGTCTTGAACTCCTGACCTCAAGTGATCAGCCTGCCTCGGGCCTCCCAAGTTTGTTTGTTTTTTACTTCTTCTAAAACAAAACAGGCCGGGCGCGGTGGCTCAAGCCTGTAATCCCAGCACTTTGGGAGGCCGAGAGGGGCGGATCACGACGTCAGGAGATTGAGACCATCCTGGCTAACACGGTGAAACCCTGTCTCTACTAAAAAAAAAAAAAAAAAAAAAAAAAAAAAAAAAAAAAACTAGCGGGGCAAGGTGGCGGACACCTGTAGTTCCAGCTACTCCGGAGGCTGAGGCAGGAGGATGGCATAAACCCGGGAGGCGGAGCTTGCAGTGAGCTGAGATCAGGCCAGCCACTACACCCCAGGCTGGGTGACAGAGCAAGACTCCGTCTCAAAAAGAACAAAACAGGACACATCTGCAGAACATGCAGGTTTGTTACATGTGCCATGGTGGTTTGCTGCACCTATTGACCCGTGTTCTAAGTTCCCTACCGTTACCTGGGACTCCCCAACAGGCCCAGGTGTGTGTTGTTACCCTCTCTATGTCCATGCATTCTCAGTATTCAGCTCCCACTTGTGAATGAGAACATGCTGTGTTTGGTTTTCTGTTCCTGTGTTAGTTTGCTGAGGCTGATGACATCCAGCTTCATCCATGTCCCTGCAAAGGACAAGATCTCATTCCTTTTAATGGCTGCTTAGTATTCCATGATGTGTATGTACCACATTTTCTTTATCCAGTACACCATTGATGGGCATTTGGGTTGGTTCCATGTCTTTGCTATTGTAAATAGTGTTGCAATAAACATACGTGTGTTGGTCGAGCACAGTGGCTCACGCCTGTAATTCCAGCACTTTGGGAGGTCAAGGCAGGCAGATTACTTGAGATCAGGAGTTTGAGACCAGCCTGGTCAACATGGTGAAACCCCGTCTCAACTAAAATACAAAAATTACATGGTGGCAAGAGTATGTACTCCCAGCTACTCAGGAGGCTGAGGCAGGAGAATTGCTTGAACCCAGGAGGCGGAGGCTGCAGTGAGCCAAAATTGTGCCATTGTCCTCCAGCCTGGGAGACAGAGTGAGACTCTGTCTCACAAATAAATAAATAAACTGTGCCATTGTACTCCAGCCTGGCAACAGAGTGAGACTCTGTAAATAGACTCTACCATTGTACTCCAGCCTGGGTGACAGCTGTGACCCTGACGTGATTTGAACACGCAACCTTCTGATCTGGAGTTAGATGCGCTACCATTGCGCCACAAGGTCTTGGAAACATAAATTTTTTGTGCTTTAGATGGACCCTGTTTCAGCAGTTGTCAGGTGTAGTGACCAGTATAGTTTTTTTTACTATCCTTTAATTAATTAATTAATTAAAAATACAAGAGATGGGATCGTGCCGTGTTGCCCAGACTGGTTTTGAACTCCTGGGCTCAAGCGATCCTCCCATCTTGGCCTCCCAAAGTTCTGGGATTACGGGCATGAGCCATCCCGCCTGACTCTTGTTTGCTTTAACAGAAAACGGAAACACTCAGTGCTCCAGGTTCGAGACATTTGAACATAGGGAAAGCAGTGAGGTCAGGCCTGGCCACCTCTAGGCAGAGGACAAGGAACTCAGTCCAGCAGGTCGTTCCAGGAATACAAACGTGGGGAGGGAGCCGGATGACAGGTCAGGCCAGCGCAGTCCTGTAGGAGCCGCTCGGGGAAGACTACTGACTTCCTCCTCGTTTGTTTTGAATAAAGCTTTGTCCTAGTGGCGCTTGAACTTCAAATGCTGGAGATCAGGCTGCACCACCAACACTTTTCCAAGGACAGCAGCCCCTCCAGGGTGGGCGGGTAGTTTTTGGATTGGGAAGGCAACTGTTTCCTGAGCTCTGAACCGTTTTATTTATTTTTTCAGTTAGAGACAGCATCTCACCTTGTCACCCAGGTTGGAGTGTAGTGGCACAATGATAGCTCACTACAGCCTCAACCTCCCGCACTCAAGGGATCCTCCTGCCTCAGTCTCCTAAGCAACAGCTGGGACTACAGGTATGTGCGACCACATCTGGTGGTGTTATTTTTGTTTTTGTTGTTTTGTTTTGCTTTTTTGAGAGACAGTTTTGCTACGTTGCCCAGGCTGGTCTTGAATTCCTGGGCTCAAGCAATCCGCCCGCCTCAGCCTCCCAAAGTGCTCCTCCTGCACTGTTTTAAGGTCCTATCTGAAGTCCTGTGAATGTACTATCTGAAGCACAGTCCCGATAAATCCTGCTACAGATGTGAACAGCACAACCTAAATATTGGCTCTGAATTTTTCCTCACACTTTAGTTTTAAGGTGCTGGTCCACTGCTGAAGTACCTATGCAAAGAAATCTTTAGGGCTAAAGAACAGAAAATACAGTGTCCAAGGTTGAGAGTTAGCGGCAAGACGTCTATATAACTCCTGGTGGCTAAAGAAAGGGATGATCATATGTTTGACCCCGACGTGATTTGAACACGCAACCTTCTGATCTGGAGTCAGACGCGCTACCGTTGCGCCACGAGGTCTTGGAAGAATAAGTTTTTTGTGTTTTAGATGGATCCTATTTCAGCAGTTGTCAGGTGTAGCGACCAGTATAGTTTTTTTTACTACCCTTTTATTATGGTTTGGGATTGAGTAAGAGTTCTTTCCCTTTTGTAATGCAGCTATTCGGAGGGAAGTGTAAAAGTAAACGAAACAGCATAGAAACAGATGCCACCACGGGGTTCGTAAATAATCCTCTTCTCATTCGGGAAAATTCACCTCCCTCAGGCTATGGAGTCTCCTAAGGAGAAACGTATGGGAAGCCACAGTGGAAAATGAGAAAGCGCAGTTTAGCGGAGAAGGCTGGGGCGGTGTTGTGAGGGAATGGGATTTTCTTCTCCCCAGCCCTCTGCATGGGGAACACTAAGAATTTGCACGTGAGCCAGATCAAGGAAAGAGTACTATGTTCAGGCCGGGCGCGGTGGGTTACGCCTGTAATCCCAGCACTTTGGGAAGCTAGGCGGATCACCTGAGGCCAGGAGTTGGAGACCAGCCTGGCCAACATGGTGAATCCCCATCTCTACTAAAAATATAAAAATTAGCCAGGCGTGGTGGCGGGCGCTTGTAATCCCAGCTACTCGGGAGGCAGGAGAATCGCTTGAACCTGGAAGGCGGAGGTACAGTGAGCCGAGATCGTGCCATTCCACTCCAGCCTGGGCGACAGAGCGAGATTCCGCCAAAAAAAAAAAAAAAAAAAAAGTATATTTGGAATAATCTGCTCCCTCCAACCCACCCCCACCTTCCCTGAAACAACCCCAGTTCGTTAACTAAAACCTTGGCATTTATAGGTATACAATCACAGCTCCTGCGCCCTCAGCCCTTCCATCAGCCCCAGGGGATCGGGCATCGCGTCGCTTCCCTCCGGCCTCTTCCCGGGGCCTTCCAGGATTCCAGTGTGCGGATCCTGGGCTCTGGCGGCTCCTGCGTCCCCGCGAGTGTCCAGTGCCGGCGTGGGGAAAAGACGGGGGCGCGGGTGCCACCGGCCACTCCTGACTTTCGCTGCTCTCCTGCGCGGCCCACGGAACAGCGGCCCCCTCAGCTTCCCCTCCCACAGCCCTCAAGTCCATCAGCACCCGGAGGCTGCCTCTTCCTGGACACAGTGCAGTCAGGTCTCTTCGGTCCCTCGTAGTCTTCCAGGTCCCCTTCTCGCACCTCCGCAGAAGGCGCGCGCTGCCCGCCCTCTACGCCCTCCCCTCCCAGAACAGACCTTAAGTCAGACCCTCAGGCCAGACTTGGCACCGCTAAGTCAAACAAAGCATAGTAGCGCGGTGAAACTTACGATTCCCTAGGTGGACCAGGAAGGTCCCCAGGCCGAATTCCTGCCCCACGGAGGACCTGACACCTGGGGTCCAGTAGACCCCATCCCTGATCCCTCCTGCCGGGCCATCTGCCCCAGCCCCTGGGAGTGGAAGTTACATAGGTCCTGGGGCAATGGGCAGGGTTTTCCCTGGGGGTTCAGTTGCTTAGGTACGCAGCCCAAGGCGGGTTATAAACTCCTAAGACTACATTATACCTGCATTATACCGTGGATGGTCAACACGCACTACACCGCAAGGAGCAAGTGAAATAAACT